AAAATCTCTAAATTGATGTTTTACCATTTGCCGGTTCACAGACGAACACTAAATTGTGTTTTTTGTAAATGGACTTTGGCGTGAGGTTCCCTTCAAACAGCAGAGAACGCACGTGATCGGGCAAAATTAAGCACTGGTGTGAAAAACTGCAGACTACACGGGTACAAAGCGAGTTTTTCGTGTGTTTACCTCTCCAGAGCATCGCCTTTGCTCATCCAGCACACTGAGAAGGAAATATCGTCGCAACGTCCTGTAGGAAAATAAAGTGAAACATCTCTACATGTTACAAATTCTGGTTTGTCCTAACTCGGTCATGTGTCGGATGCAGTGTTGCGACTCACCAAACGATATAGTATGGGGCACCAGTATGAAAAAGATGAACGAAATCACGAAGGAGGTCCTGAAAATATAAAAGCTGATTAACTGGCTGAATTAGAGTGAGACAAGTGAAAACAACCATTCAATGTAAATGATTTTTCTTACATTTTCTGTGTAAGTTCATCAAAGGGAAGCATGTTACGTTTAAGTCTGAGCATGGCTGGAAATGGCAGAGTCCTAATGAGTGCCAGGTGTGCGCTGCCTTCACGCACCTGCTCGGATTCATCAAGCTCCTGACGACAGGAAACTACCTCTGTAGGCTCATCATATATTTTAGTCTCCAATACTAATATCTACTGTTTTAAATGTCATGAAGAATTCACTGTCAGAATGATTAATTTAAAAAAATGCCTTGCTCAAACAGTTAATGGCAATAATCAGTGCCGAAGCTAAGATGTAAGGGTTACCTACTAAATAGCTTTTCATTTGTTATTTTTTATTTAAATTTTGCCTAAAATAAGTTAAAGAGATAGAGTCTGTATCACAATCAGCCTCGAAAAGCTGGAATACAATTTGTGTGTTACTGCAGAATGTAAACTCCTCCATAGGTTGTTCAGTTCCCCATATGCACAGTCCTAAAAGGGAGCGGCAGACCTCCAATCCACAATGTTAGCAGCAGATTGTATACATGTCAGTACATGTATCAATTTAAAAAAAAAAAAAAAAGGTAACAGTTTTCATGAATCTTTTAAATAGCTCAAACTCGAAATCCTATTAGTCTCTGACTATCTGACAAACTCAATTAGTTTAATACAACCAACATGATTTGCTTTCATCTTGAAATACTTAATCAGGTTAAATCAACCAAATATTACTCAGAAGTTGTGTTGATATTCAGTAGTCAAACTCTAACTCATTTATTTTAATTCCATCTTACTCAAAAATGTCCAACATGCTTTTGATTTTGACAGACTTCTTAAAATAAGTTTTCAACTGACTAGAACATGTTAATGAAACAAACAGATTTATTTAGCCTATTTTTTTTATGCTGCAAAACTTCCTCATTTAAAACAGACCATACCTCTCCAACCCTTGCTTCTCTCCACTGGCTGCCTGTGAGTTTTAGAATTGATTTTAAGATTTTACTAATTGTTTTTAAAGCCCTGAATGGTCAGGCTCCTGCCTATATCCGTGACCTGCTTTTACCCTACGAGCCCGAACGCTGCCTGAGATCCGCCGGCACAGCTTTACTTATGGTCCCGAGGTCCCGTCTCATTACAAAAGGTGACCGGGCCTTCGCTGTCCGCGCTCCACAGCTTTGGAACTCCCTGCCCGGTGATCTCAGGCAGGCTAGCTCAGTGACTTCTTTTAAATCTCTTCTAAAGACTCACTTTTATCGATTTTTTCTCTTAATTTTGTTTTATTATCATTGGATCATTACCTTGTTGAGGATGCGTGATTTTAATTTTTCTAAATTTTAATTCCAATTTTATTTCTTGGCGGTTTTATTATGTTTTTTTTTTCTTTGTTGTTGTTGTCAGGCAATTGTATTTGATGTTTTTATTCCTGTTTTTATTTCGGTTGTACAGCACCTTGTAACATGCTTTTGAAAGGTGCTAAATAAAAGTTATTATTATTATTATTATTATTATTATTATTATTATTATTATTATTATCATTATCATTATTATTATTATCCGCTAACTCCATGAATCATTTTTTTCATCAGTGTGGGCCTCTGGAGCAGGACTGTAATCACCCATTTAACATTGAGGGGGACCATTTCAATTAACACCTTATGCAACCCAAGGGGGTCTTGGGGGGAATTCTTCCCAGTTACATTTTTTAGAAACTTAACCGCTAAACTGCGCATTGTATAGAATTGTGGGTAACACTTCATAAAACAGCCCGCGTTTTAGAGTGTACCTCTCGCCCACTTTCCCGGGAGTTAGAGCATAATTCCTCCCGGTCAGTTAGCACATACTTTCCCGGGAGTATATGCTAAGTGACCGCGTCGTTATACTCTAACTCCCGGGAAAGTATGTGGTAAGTGACCGGGAGGAGTTATACCCTAACTCCCGGGGAAGTATATGCCAAGTGACCACGTCCAGGAGGAATTATGCTCTAACTCCCGGGAAAGTACATGTTACTTCCCGGGAGTTATACGCTAACTCCCGGGAAAGTGGGCGAGAGGTACACTCTAAAACCTGAGCTGTCTTATGAAGTGTTACTGAATTGCGCGCGCGTCTTTGTATTTACCCCACTATTTGTCTCTACCTCCATGTATGCTAGCTAGGAGGAGTTATGTTTGAATAGAGTTTGAATCTGATATGTTTTAAAAAATAATGTTGTGACAGTGTAATGCAACACAGTTAAGTTTCCATACCTTTGCCCCAATAATCCCTTTGAAGTGTGCCACATTCTCACCATGGAACAATTGACATAGGCTGCCAAGGGTGTCACGTGGAGCCTAGGCTGTCATTCATTGGTCATGGAAATGTTACTATGGGTCCTTAAAAAGTCATGTAAACGTTTTGACATTTTGACCATGAAAATGTGTGGGTTCTCAAAGTTTTGATGACTGAGTGCCATTTTAGGGAGCCAGCTTATGATTGAGGGCCATCCAAGAAAAATACACACCCTGACTTTTTGCATAACAAACGATAACAGTAACACAGACACAGTAACACGATACCAAAACTATAACAATCAACTTTGGTATAGCCTACCCAACACTCTTAGACAATGGGGTTCAAGTCTTGGACCACTAGCCAAGATACTTCTATTTTGCATTTGTTTCAAACACTTTTTTCCAGTACAAATGATACTATCAGCTTAACAAATTAAGTTGAATGTTTGAAAAATGTACATGAATTTCAGAATATCTTAGTCTTAGGTGTGTCCCAGCATGCACTCAAGCTGGCATGGACTCCACAAGTTGGTGCACACCCTGATGACCCATGTTATCCCAGTATGATTTGACAATGTCCCAAAGAGCTTCTTGTGATGGAACAAAATGCCCAGCTTTCTCAGTCCTCAAGTGCCCCATAAATCTTCAGTGATGTTGAGGTCAGGTGACTGTGGAAGAAATTCCACTCCTTGATCTTCTTCAGTTTTCATTGTAAATGGAATAGACCTACATTTGTATAGCGCTTTTCCGCTGTTTGGGGTTCCCCTTCTTGCCCAAGGATACTTGGAGGAACTGGCAATCGAACTAACGATCTTATGATTACTGGATGCTTTTGTGGCTCTACCTTCTGAGCCACAGCCAGTCGAGCAGTTCTTGCAAAGCGTTTTAGAGTTTCATGCACTGACTGCCCCCTTAGAAACGTTTGGTCCAGCCATGATTTGACGCATAGAAAGCCTTCCAAGTCTTTGCTTGGAAAAACGATTTGATCAAATGATTTCAAAAAGGGTTAGTATTCTGTAAACCCAAATGCCCGGCAATGTCAAAATGACATAAAAACTTAATGTTCACTTGACACAAAAACTCATCCCTAGTGAGCTTGACATAATTTTTTTTATGTGAAGTCAACAGTTTTTTTAGTTTTGAGTTAATTTAACTAAAATGTATAAAGCTGATTTTGCCTAATTAGTTTAAGGCCAATAAACAACACTATCACTGTGCACTTAACAAATTGTGGTAGAGTTTCCCAGCATGCCACAAGACAATGTGCTTAAGGCCATTACGCAGTGATTTACAGTATGTTTAAGTATTTCACAATGCTTCTAGTGGGTTTTATGTTCATATGACAGACAATTAAATGCTCAGACAACAAATTATGTTAAACTGACATAAAATTGCTGTCAGTTAAGTGTCATGTTACACATTTACACGTTTACAGTATATGGAGTTTTGTCCACATTTTAGAAAAGGGAGAAAAATAAATTGATACTGATCCTGCACAGTGTGAGGAGACTGTATGTCAGTGTTTTGAACCTTTTCAGCTGAACCTCTTAAAATAAAGCAAAGTCTTCGTCATTACTGGGGCTATAATTTTAGTGTGAACATGAGCTGTGAGTTTTCTCCTCTCAGATTGCTTGATTTATTAAAGGGTTTTCTGCATCCTCAAGAGGTAAATGTATTCAATATTCATAGGAAAACAGCAAAAAATAAATTATTAAAGAAGCCATTAAACATAATTTTATGTGACATTGTTTTATTTCTTTCCCTCTATCATGAACCTAAAAATATCTGAGAAATCACTACTGCATATTGTGCTGCAGGCGGCCTGTAGGTGGCATTGTGCACCACAATGAAATCTGCAGTCCACTTTCTGCAGTTAAGAGGTACACTTGTTTGTTTCAATTTAACATCAGTAACTGATAAACCTAAATATAAGATGCTGATTTTAAAGAACTGTGTCAGTTATTCCTTCATGATGCCTGCTGTATGACCTATCCACATTGACCCTGTGTGTGTGACTTTGTGATTACATTAAGCAAAGGAAAGACGACTTGTCCTCTATTAGTGGTCCTGCATCACAGTGTTCGTGTCCAGCTGTTCAGGATCTACTGGACACCACTCAGCTATCAGACAGAGCAGCTTTTGTGTGATAAATCCTAACAAGCAACTAGCTAAATTGGAGTCACAAGTATGCACAGTCTGTGGAGAGTTTCAGGCTGCAGGCTTGTGGGGGCTGCAACTTTTCTGCCTCTGCTGGATCATAATTCAAGGCAAATCATGATCTGAGCAGCAGTGTCTGGGGAGTGTTGTAACGCAATATGGAGAGCTGGCACTGTTTGCTGCTGCTGTGCTCACTAAGTTTAGCGCTGGCCTCTGGAGAGGCAACGAAAAATGATGATGAAATCGACATTTCCAGCTTTCTGAGAGGTATCGTCTCCGGGCTGCTGGTGAGAGACGAGCCGTTCATCATCAACAGAGACTTTGAGATAAACTCCCTCAGGGAGCTGGAGCGCCCTGAGGTCCTCTCAATCACAGAGCAAACCAAGGTCAAACCAGTCAGTCAGGATACAAACGGGGCTCCTGGACCTGTGGTGTTAACCAAAGATGGCCAGATCAAGGGGATTACTGTGGACAAGGCCCATATATTCTATGGGGTACCATATGCAGACCCCCCTGTTGGGGCTTATCGCTGGAAGCCTCCCAGATCTGTTAGTCCTCGGCAAGGGGTTTACGATGCCTCCTTCCCCAGGGCATCATGCATGCAGGCCTGCAGCGGACCCATCATTGAGGAGTGTCCTCGAATAGTAAGGAGCAACTTCTCACTAACTTACATGATGCAGTAATATTTCACTTTAGGATGTAATAACATTTTTGCATATTTGGTATTTTGGTGCATGGTGACTTAAAGTGAGGGCTACAGCAAAATAAGTTTCACCCACTAGATCACCAACATTAAAGGTGACAGTTGTACTTAAGAGACAAAAAAGAGCCTTATTGCTTTGAAAACAGATTCAAGTTTTGGTTGTATAAAACTTTCTGGATGTCAAGGATATTGTGGATACATAAATCTAGTTGATAACGGAAGGAACTGAAGAGCCATCAATATTTTTGAAAGTGTGAGCTAAGCCATGGATGTATTACAAGGACTGCAGTCTGGACTCCAAGATGGTGCCCATTCATTCCAATTAAAGCTGCACACCCACACTAGTGTTTCTCTCCTTCTGGTTTCTCTTCCACAATGTGCAGCTCATGTCACATGCACAGTGCCATCTCTCCCTGCAGGGCCTGAGCTAGGATGTTACAAATACTGAGGCCATGAGCCCAAGTTCCCCTAACACACCATAAACATCTCTAGTATTGTAATTATTTATATTTAGGATTAAAGGTCTACCGTGGATGAAATACTGAATCTTTTATTTGTACTTTATTTGCCTAAAAGTAGTTAAAATTAAACATGTTAAATCTAAAAAGACCTTCATCTCCCAAAAGACCAAATCACAATGTTTGTCTACAATAACATCTAGGTAGAAAATCTCTATGTCACACAGATGAAATAAAACAGTTGATTAGGTTTTAGCTGACTAAAAAAGGCCCAGCTTTCCAAAGGGGAACTGAAGCCGTTTTCTTAAAACCACCAAACCTCATTAACAAAAACAGTCATTTTACTTTGCAGAACACAGGAGTTGCTGAGCTACCACTACCTCGATTGGTTAGTGTGTAAGGTAAAGCAAGGAAATATTCCAAATATGGTGTCCACTTAAAGTGATTTTTTTTTCTCTGCCATTGTCATTTGATACGTATTATGCCCTTTTGTTGTTGGTTATAGTTATGATTATTTTATTAAATTAAACAATTTTTACTAATCAACTGGTCATCAGTCACCTGAATGTGCTGTCATCTGTCATTGCGGTTTCTGATAGCCGTCCATCAGCTGTCAATGAACTGTCAAGCTGTCATCAGTCTGCAGCTCAGTGGATGTGAGACGTATCTTTTTAATTTTTTTTAATAGTATGGAAGTATGGGTATTGGAACGCACTAAAAAAAGGTGCAGTACCACAGTTGACCACTGGGGCAAGCCACGCTACAGCTGCATTAATGTAATATCATCTGGACTAATTATGAGCAGCATAATGATAGCCTGCGGCCTTTAATATTGAGTCAGAAATATTGAGAAATTTCTGACAGCTAAAACATCTTCCACTTGGTAAGAATAGCTTAAGAAGTGTCAACAAATCAGTTGCAAAATGGCTTAAGAGCTAAAAGTTACATGGCTTGCACTGATGGGGCTGTTTTAAAAGAAGCTATACATTGTATCTGGTTTTACTGATTAATTAAGAAACTTATAAAATAGCTAATTAGGGCTATTTAAATGATTTGACTATGAGGCTACCACTGGGGGTAACCATCTTGGAATAATGCATGAATTAATTTCTAATTTAAAATAAAGATGTATTCTTATTGTGTGTAGGCCAACTTGCTACTTCATACGAGCTTATTGGAAAACACACTAAACAAAGATGGAACTTTGGTCAAATTCTTAGCCTATAAACAAAAAGGTGCATCACTGACCATTATTCTTATGATGTTGTTTAGCAGGCTAGCTAAGTAGCTATGGCTAATCTGAAGCAAACGACACCATTGGGGGCTGAAAAATGGAGCCAATGCTAAAGTGCCAAAATTTGCAGTTCCTCAAATGGCCTCTTCAGCCTGACTCAAGAAGCAAGTCAGTCCCCATAGAGTGCTGCAGGGATGACGTTTTTCTGCAGGCCAGCCAGAGGTTAGCATCGCCCAGGTTCCGTCAACAAAAAGCCAATGGGATTTATTAGATTTTGGATTATTGCAGAAAGCTCTGTGGCAAATAGACATTGATGATACTTGCACATTTCGCTCAGCAAGATAATCTTCACAAATAAACACCACTTTTATGATTTTTGAAATGTAAATTCAATCACCAGAAGTAAAAAGCTAAGGTTAAGCTAGGAACAAACTACACAGGGTCACATGACTAAAATATTGCTACCACAAGGCTGTAAGCCATGCTCAGCATGACACTGCTATGTAGTCTCATTTTAGCCACTTGTTAGCGACTACCTTTTTTAAGACACGTAAAGGCTTCAAAATCTACGAGTGGGATATTTACTGATGTATTTTATTTTGTAGAATAAAATGTGAAAGTCTCTTGTGTTAACCACAGAGCTTGTTTATGGGGCTTCTAACCAAAAACCCCTTTAAAAACCCATTGACTCTGAGACGAGGCAACTGTCAGTGCAAACATGTTGACTCATGTCTGGGATTTAGGACTCTACAGTGTTAAATGCCCAACTTTACAATAGAAATAAACAAGTTTACAGCCTGGTACAAAAACCTTATTTCCTCAATTCCTAACATTAACTGTTAAGTAGCTTACATTACGGTTCGTTGCAATAAACTCTGCGTAAAGAGGAACATATTTCCACAAATGACATTTGAGTAAAAAAAAAAACCAAACAAACAAAAAAAACTAAAAAAGGACAAAGGAAAATAGAGAAGCCTGGATATTTCACTGCAAACCTCCAGGTGCAGATATGACATCAGGAGACGACAAAACCACAACGCACCTAGCAAGCTGTTAACTCATTAGCATCACATCAGTGCTGCAAAAGCTGTCAGCAGAATTTTATTTCATAGGTCACACAATAAACGGAAACATACAGATTAATATTTATGTATTACTTGGCAAAATTCTAGTCCCCATCCAGTTGTGGAACTATTTGTGTTGGAGGAGCCAAATAAGTCATCAAATTTACTGTTTTGCTTTGCAATTTGCTTTTTACTGTTAACTTAATAATGGCGCTTGTAAAACTGTCGTATAAAAGCTATATCACGCTCAAGGTTGTGCGGTCATACTGAATATCAGCATGACTGTAATAACTTATCTACGACCAAATCACAACTGTGCTGATATTCAGTACAACAGCACTCCCTTAATGTGATATTGCTTAATTAAGGCTAAAGTTACACATATTCAAGGGCGGGGCCTCGCTACAGTCTGTGAGTACAAACCACCCCTTGCCTCTCCACAGCTCTAATCCAAATACAACCACTTATGGCTCCAAAAATCCAAAAAGGCAGGGGCGAAAATGTCAAACCCAAGGCTTCAAAATGGGAGTCCACAAACCAATGGCTATGTCCATTATTTTAAACAGTCTATAGTTTGAACCAAGAAGGCTGAGTGGTATATTCTCAGCTAGTGACAAGAATGCTAGACTTCATATTAGCCTCCTCTTCTACCACGCCAAGCTTCAGTCTTTAGTTACTTAGCCAAAAAAAAGGAAGCAGTTACACTATTCACACTGTGAATATTTCTGCACTGACAATATAACCCAGAACTAAATAAATACTGATTTTCAACAAATACTGAATGAATTTCATCTAATGTCTCCAACAGGTCAGTGAGGACTGTCTCTACCTCAACATCTTTGTCCCTCTGGATGTGAACTTCAGCTCCCCTCTGGGGAGCCCACTGCCTGTCATGGTGTGGATCCATGGTGGGGATTTCATAGCTGGCTCTGCCTCCAAGCCGCTGTACGATGGGCGCTTCATCAGTAACTTCACCCGCACTGTTGTCGTAAGCCTGGAGTACCGACTGGGTATGAAATCTGGTGGTATTTCACCTCTGTTGGCTGTATTTCACAGTAGTGTGTATAACATATAGGCTGAACATTGTTACATATTTACTTTACAATGTATATAAAAATGGAAAAATGGATAATGCACAATAATAATGCTATAACAGGGATCAGTGTATTTACCAGTAATCTGCCCTTTAATGGCCCTTTACTAAAATGCATTGGATGTGCAGGGATAGAGGGAGGATGACGTTTAGCACTGGAGTCGGTTTTGGAAAGGCAACAAGCAGGCATCTCGTGGTAGACATTAGTTAAAATGAGAGTGTGTTTATTGTAGAGGGCATGTGTATGCGTGTGTGTGTGTGTGTGTGTGTGTGTGTGTGTGTGTGAGACAGTACGAGGCTGGCTAATGTGCGCGTGTTATTAGATATGTGGATGGTAATTTGGGAATTCAGAGGAAATGAATGTCTTGCCGGAGTCAGTTATGTCTGATCATGTGAATGTCCGCATGATTTAAGGTGCTTTTGGGTTCCTTGTGTCGGGCAAAGACCCTCACTCCTCAGCTGCTGGGAATTATGGGATCTTGGACCAGCAGGCGGCTCTTCTTTGGGTCCAGCAGAACATTGCAGTGTTTGGAGGTGATCCTGGCAAGGCAAGCGCATGCATTCACGTACATACACACACACAAAACTGGGCTAATTATATGGGGAGGTCATTCAGTGTGCTTTTTTGGGCACTGTATTTGATTTTCCTGAAAGATTTTGTCTTTTTTTTTTTTTTTTAAATGTGAATATCTCCAGTACAGTGTGATGGGTTTCATAATCAGTCGCTCCAGGAAGCTGTGATGTTGCAATTGCAGTTCCACCACAAATTCAGCCAATCCCCATGGACAACCTTTGTCCAATCACCGCAACTTTACTGCAAATCTGACTGTTTGAAATGAGTAAAATCACATTTTGTTGTGGAGTGGATGGTCTCTTCTTCTGTTTATCATGAGACTACTGCTGTGGGAGAGGTGTCAGCTCTATGCCTGGGACAAAGTTACACACACAATCAGTACATTTACATGCACAGTTAAGTCGAGCTGCAGTTCTACCTCAACTATTTAATCTGACTCCTGTCCTTGTCCCAGTATACAAGCATGGAAGGAGAATCGATTTATTGACGTATGTAGTATAGGTGGTGATATGCCCCCTTTCAACTTGTTAGTATCGGACCTTTTTTCCGGTTGACCTGTTACGTCACAGACCAAACAATCGACAAACAAGTTAGCTACGGTTAGCATAAAATGTGTCCCCCCTCCTGTCCAAAATTGCACAGCTCTGGATGTAAATTGTGCCATATTAACACAGGCTTGTTCTTCTGTTTTGCATTTGATGCTATTTGACTTCCACATCAAAGCATGGGGCACTGTGGGGCATGTGCAGAGTGCCCAGGCCAGTTTGGGTCCGATTGACTGTATACATTCAAGAGTAATTCGAATCCCAATCACATTATCTGGGTGTGTTAGTCTGACTTTGAGAAAGTCAATTTGTTTATACAGTACAGGCCAAAAGTTTGGACACACCTTCTCATTCAATGCGTTTTCTTTATTTTCATGACTATTTACATTGTAGATTCTCACTGAAGGCATCAAAACTATGAATGAACACATGTGGAGTTATGTACTTAACAAAAAAAGGTGAAATAACTGAAAACATGTTTTATATTCTAGTTTCTTCAAAATAGCCACCCTTTGCTCTGATTACTGCTTTGCACACTCTTGGCATTCTCTCCATGAGCTTCAAGAGGTAGTCACCTGAAATGGTTTCCACTTCACAGGTGTGCCTTATCAGGGTTAATTAGTGGAATTTCTTGCTTTATCAATGGGGTTGGGACCATCAGTTGTGTTGTGCAGAAGTCAGGTTAATACACAGCCGACAGCCCTATTGGACAACTGTTAAAATTCATATTATGGCAAGAACCAATCAGCTAACTAAAGAAAAACCAGTGGCCATCATTACTTTAAGAAATGAAGGTCAGTCAGTCCGGAAAATTGCAAAAACTTTAAATGTGTCCCCAAGTGGAGTCGCAAAAACCATCAAGCGCTACAACGAAACTGGCACACATGAGGACCGACCCAGGAAAGGAAGACCAAGAGTCACCTCTGCTTCTGAGGATAAGTTCATCCGAGTCACCAGCCTCAGAAATGGCAAGTTAACAGCAGCTCAGATCAGAGACCAGATGAATGCCACACAGAGTTCTAGCAGCAGACCCATCTCTAGAACAACTGTTAAGAGGAGACTGCGCCAATCAGGCCTTCATGGTCAAATAGCTGCTAGGAAACCACTGCTAAGGAGAGGCAACAAGCAGAAGAGATTTGTTTGGGCCAAGAAACACAAGGAATGGACATTAGACCAGTGGAAATCTGTGCTTTGGTCTGATGAGTCCAAATTTGAGATCTTTGGTTCTAACCGCCGTGTCTTTGTGAGACGCAGAAAAGGTGAACGGATGGATTCCACATGCCTGGTTCCCACTGTGAAGCATGGAGGAGGAGGTGTGATGGTGTGGGGGTGTTTTGCTGGTGACACTGTTGGGGATTTATTCAAAATTGAAGGCACACTGAACCAGCATGGCTACCACAGCATCCTGCAGCGACATGCCATCCCATCCGGTTTGCGTTTAGTTGGACGATCATTTATTTTTCAACAGGACAATGACCCCAAACACACCTCCAGGCTGTGTAAGGGCTATTTGACCAAGAAGGAGAGTGATGGAGTGCTGCGGCAGATGACCTGGCCTCCACAGTCACCGGACCTGAACCCAATCGAGATGGTTTGGGGTGAGCTGGACCGCAGAGTGAAGGCAAAGGAGCCAACAAGTGCTAAACACCTCTGGGAACTCCTTCAAGACTGTTGGAAAACCATTTCAGGTGACTACCTCTTGAAGCTCATGGAGAGAATGCCAAGAGTGTGCAAAGCAGTAATCAGAGCAAAGGGTGGCTATTTTGAAGAAACTAGAATATAAAACATGTTTTCAGTTATTTCACCTTTTTTTGTTAAGTACATAACTCCACATGTGTTCATTCATAGTTTTGATGCCTTCAGTGAGAATCTACAATGTAAATAGTCATGAAAATAAAGAAAACGCATTGAATGAGAACGTGTGTCCAAACTTTTGGCCTGTACTGTATGTACTTTAACAGTGCAGTTTCAGTCAAACTAACACAATAAATTGATTTCCTCTTATGTTATGCAAACATACTGAGTGACAAGCCTAACTGTTAGCATTGCACAGCTAATGTTATCCAACGGGTTCAACAGCAAAGCTGAGCTGGCTCGGTGTCAGTGTGAGATCGTTGGGACCTTTTAGTGGCCCGGTATTGGATAGTAGCCGCTGTTGCTGTGTTAGCTCATGCTACGTGGACAGAGAGCAGGAGGAGAGCTGCTCATGGGTGGTCCTTCAGCAACATCACAAATAGTTTCTAATTGTGTTTGAAACACTGAATCTCATAATGACAGGCACCAACAACATAGCAACTATTTTTTCAATGTTCCCTTGCCCCCGTAACAGTATAGCAAAAAAATGCATAAACATTTCAAGTCACAATAATCCGAAATTTGGCCTGGAAATCCTGTAAGGACTGAATAATGGTTACAAAACTGACCAATTTTTTTCAAACTGTGGAAACTTAAAGCTTACAAATTAAACGGTGTCATGCTTCACTCAAATTAATTTCCAAAGGCCTTAAAGGGACCGTCAAGAATGTTTCCCTGTGCTTCTTCAACTTTAGGAACTTGTTTTGTTTCTTTTTCATTTTATCCCTCTTTCCAGCTTTCTTTCTGTTCCTTCTTTCCTCTCCTGATACCTCTGTTTATCTTCCTTTTGTTAGTACTGTCTCCCCATTTTGCTCCCTCTCCACTTGATATCTGTCATACAGAAAACGCATCTACCCACATAAAAACAGTCATACACAAGCACGCGCACACACACACACACATACACACACACGCAGATGTCTTAAAATAAGAAAATCTAACCCATATGTGTATATGTATAACTTGTATTGTCAGTGATTGAGCCATAAAGTGAATTATGTACTTGATCCCATTTAAAAGTCAATTGCAGTAAGGGTTACCTCTTGTTGTGAACACACAGACCTGCTGATGTGGCTTTTAATGACAAGCCTCTTCACTGTGTTTTTGTCCAGGTGACAATATTTGGGGAGAGTGCAGGTGCTCAGTCAGTGAGTCTTCACTTGATGATCCAAAGCAGCAAACCTCTGTTCAAACAGGCTGTCCTGCAGAGTCTGCCGTTCTCCATCCCTCTGAAGACCAGGTGAGGAACCATCAGATGAGGACTGATATGATCATTGATGACTGATCTGTGCCTGGCTGAAGTTACAAAATACAGTAGACTCAAAAAGCAGTTTTTTTGTGTGTGTGTGTGTGTCTGAGATAGAAAATCAGACTGAAATGTTTTCTTGAGCTGTTGCTGTATTTCAGACCTTGCAGGGGTGTTCCCAGCATGCTTATAGACAACATCAAGCTGTACTGTAATTTTGTATCCCTGCATCTCTTTCCCAGACACGATGCCCTGAAGCTGGGAAAAGACTTTGCTAAACAGACCAACTGCTCTGTGAGCGACATCGTCTGCCTGCTGTCTCTCACTCCACAGGCCGTCCTGGCCGCCCAGATGAAAACAAGTAGGGCGCCACAGACACCAGCCTACACTCACCAAATTTAGAGCAGCGCTCAGGGCTGCCCACACGGTTGCATAAGAAGGCAGGATATAGTATGTTTATCTGCAAAAGATGATGAAAAACATTGTTTGTCTTGAGTCGTGGCATGTTGGGAAACAAAATTGTGAAAACTGAGGAATAGTGGGCCTCTGAAGGGGGAATTAGAGGGACTTTACTGCCTCACAGCACCAAATGACTGTAATATATCTGCACCAAATGACTGTAATATATCTACAGGCTTGACAGGCTTATTGATCGATAACACTGATGATCACATCATCAGCTGCTGTTTTCTACCTGTCTGAACTCACTTCCAGGCCCAAATATCTGGAGCACAAACACAAAGGTGACTAGACATTTCAGCTCTGATGGCTTAAGAAAAGTCTCAAGACAATAAAGTTTAATCAGAAGCAGGTTTATTACTACAGTATTTAGCATTGCAAAGCTTTACTGTCTCTTAATTATAAACTTCAGTGCTTTCTGTTGTGGAAAATTTCAGTCTAACCAATGTGTTTTTGACCTCAGGTTCCAAGGTTGTGAACCCGTTCAGGTTCCTGGAGGTTTTTGAGACATGGGGTCCGTACATCGATGGGGAGTTAATAAAAGAGCAAGCCGTCACCGCCTTCCAGAAGGGCCACTGGCAGAAGGAGAAGCCAGTGCTGCTGGGTAAAAGGAGACACACACAGACAAAATTAACGAGGGTTGTATTCAACAAAAGAAAATCTTGGTAGACTAATCTTCTCTTCAACCAATTGATTGGTCGATGGGGGGAAAAAATTCTGCACATTATCTCTAGGTCAACTAAATCAGCCACAGTCTGCACTCTGGTAGCCGTGTGTGTCCACCAAAATGATTTTTTTTTCCTGTCACAGAGCTCGATATTAACACTTGCCCTGGGCAAGTTAAAGCTATGGTCTATGTTTGGAAAGATTGATCATTATTATTAACATCATTTAGATGGTGGTTATGGCCCAATAGTGCTAGCTACACAATGTGAAGAGCAAAAGGAACCAAAAAAATCCATTCTCTCTGGCAGCTGCAGGCCTGCGAAGAAATTGACCAATCATAGCCATCCGGTCAGCATGGGAGTTACTCCTTGCTCAAATTTGCGCTCTCTCTCTCTCTTACCCTCCGTCCAATCCCCTCGCTCCATTTTGACACTCCTCTGCTCCTCGTCCCAACCCACCTCCGCATATGAAAGTACGAGTGGTTTGTAAGGCCCTGAGCGATTCAGCTACACGAGTTTCGATATGGAAAATAAAGAGAGCGACAGCAGCAAGCGGCCTCTGCTTTGCAAATTGAGGGCTCAAAGCAGAGTAAACATCGCGTCATCCTTTGACTGATGGAGAAAGCTCCGGCAAGATCTGGGCCTGAAAAGTGATGCTGTTTTTGTTGAACAGGTAATATTTCGGTTTTATTGTGGATGTTGTGACATAGATAACTGTATGCCAATGCTGGCATATGACTGTGAAAGCTGCCGTTAGTTTTAGTTTCCAAGGGGAGGGGGACACGAGCTTGGAGGGGAGGGATCATGGAGCACAGAGGGAGGGGTGTGTGTGTGTGTGGGCGGGAATGCTTTTTTCATATCTTTCTCATCGATCTCCACTGTAATATTATCTGAAAATAAACTGCGCAATGTAACATTTATCCAGCTGAGCTGTGTGCACGAGCCCGTCTCACCAGTAAGCATTAAACAGGACTGCTGAAAAAATCTGACATACGAAGTTAACTCTGGGGTTGATGGTGTCATGTACAACATAGTGTTACTGATGTTAAATATCTCTGTAACGCTTCATACAAGACAGAAAGACTATTTTTAGCCCAGCGGCTAATGTTAGCCATCCTGCCACTCCAACAAGGACTCCAGGGTGATCCTCATCCTTTCAGAAGCTTTCTAATCCAGCCTACAACTGCAGTGCCTTTTTGGAAATTTAGTTAAAATAAATCCATAGTGATAAAATCTGACACCAAATGAGATTTGAAACATATTTAACTTTGGGTAAAATGCTTGTCCTGTCACTGTCACCAGCTGACCAATCACAGAGGAGAATACCACAAAGACCAACTGTCACAGAGGACAAATACAAGCGCTGAACATCAGCAACCACTGTTTTTGGCTGGTAAAACAAACGCTATGGTGGACACACAGCCTTATTAAAGTATCACCAGCAATTGTCTGACCAATGAGAATTTAATCGTGCAAAAGCATATCGACCAACCAATCGACCAACCGATCAGAAGATACGTACAGTACAAGAAAAATTGCACCTTATCACTATGAAGCTGCCTTACATTTCACCAATGGAATTTTGCCAAGTGCTGTACTTACTATGAAACTCAAAGCTTAGTCCCAATAAAACCCAGTCCCTTTTTCTAGCCCGCTTGTGGCTACATAAACGCCTGTCTCAATTAGACGCTTGGTGTGGTCACCAAGCAGTTACATTTTTTAAATAGTAGTTCTTTGGATGTATAAAACCAGGTTACTGACTACTTCAAAGGATGTGTCCATTCCTTCATTACCCTGTAAGTTATTCATATTCCTTTAGTCCGTAAGGTCCTCACAGGAATCAAAAAGGTTTTTTCATAAAAATTAATCCAAGTTATCCTGTTATTGTTTTAACAGGATAAAGTGGTGTTGTGTTGGTATGCAGTGCTCTCTCTCTCTCTCTCTCTCTCTTTGATGCCCTGTCTGTTGGAACTAGATCAAATGAATGATTCATCATTGATATATTATCTGATGCCTTATTTTCATACAAGTAATATTCATACCGGTGGGTACAGTTTTGAGGTACTTGAGTATTTACATTTTTACATTACATACAAACACACATACAAAACCTTAAGCTTATAAAATGTGATGCATTTGTCATGACCCTGGGCCATGGCAAATAAAGGGATGAGGCAGCTTTAATAATGGCTGGGAGCATTGCACCCAGGTGAAGAACAGAGAGCAGGCACACACATTGCTATACAGTAGATCAAATGCCCAACAATACCAGATTAAACTGTTAGGGGGCCTGGGGCAAAATTGAGTTCATGCTTCTAGTCAGACCCTTCATTATATAAGAATATGCATCATGAAAGCATTAATATTAAACACTGAATAGTTCAGGTACTTTTACAAGCCTGATTTCTTAATAATACCTTTGCTTTTACTTGACTAACATTCTGAATGCAGGACTTGTAACAGAGTACATTTTCATTGTGGTATTTTTGCTTTTATGCCAGCAAAAGATCTGAATGATTCTTCTGCCACTGCTCAAATGGACATCCTGCAAACTGTCATCCAGATTTTGACATGGAGATCTAGAATTGACCTATTTGCATTGCTTGGCCTAAGGTGGAAACTGTATGAATCCACCAAAAAAAACCCCTATAAACATATACTAAAATGTATGCTTTAAATGTGTACAAGTAACAAATAAATACTACAACACCCATTAGATGTTCTGGATTTGAGCCCAAGATTATATTTGTGGCCTCTTTTCCTCCTAAAATTACTTAATGTTATTCTCATGTCTGCTTTTACATGTATTACCATTAACGTTAGTACTGTTCTGTGCCCAGAGAGTACTGTCTGGCCAGTCTCTCAGGTGTCTGCTGTCTGGTGAACTCCCTTTGGTTCTTGTTATAACCCAAATTTTTTCCTAAGATCATAATAAAGTTGAAGGGAAGTGTACAAGGAAACCATGCTGCCTCACGGATCAACATATCTTAAACCTGATTGCTTATTGATATACAGTAAGATACCCACAGTCATAATTAAATGTAAACATGTTTAAGAGTGTTTTTCCCCCAAATGACAATCAGACAAGAGAAAGTTTGTTCAAATAAGTAACAGAAAGGCTACAGACAACTCTGAATTATTGTTTGTACTTGTTTGTATGTACCAAGGCTCTGTTTTCTGTCCGACAGGTACAACCTCAGAGGAAGGGGTGATCTTTGCGTATGGTGTCTTCAGCAAGCCGGTCTCTACAGTGGAGAGCACTGTGTACATCACAGCCATCTTTAAACAACACACTCTGCGGATCCTACACAAGTACCTGCCCCTCTACAGGGACACTGACCGCAGAGGCATGCTGGCTCAGGTAAGAGGAGCTCAATTCACAGGCTTTACTTTCAGCACTGGGGGACCAAAGCACATTTATTTCAGTCATAATATCTAAAAATATTTGATTAAGTATACCCAGCAAGCAATAGTCGTGATTTAAACGTACTACCTATATTTAGCTCCGATTTAGTCTAACTACATGTAACCTAAATCTAGCCGATTTAATTTTGAAATTGATTAAATGTAATTTTCACCATTGCAAATGGAGTGCGGTATGATATTCAATCACGTATGGAGAGTCAACAGTAATTTAAATATGTTTATCTCCATTTTTTGGACATGGTCTCTACATAGCCGTATAATTGATGACTGGCTATGGTTAGACGTCAAATTTTCACTGACAGCCCAAATTCAGCCGTGATTTAGCCTAGACATCAGGTCTTCATGTAGACGGCCATTAGACATTTTTTAAACCAAAAAATGCTTCCTGGTTAGGTATAAAAGACAAACTAATGCTTTTTGCCAACACATTCTCACTCTAAACTCGTCAATACCAATGCTTGGTCAGCGGCCCTATGCATGTCAAAATATGATGATTCAGGTACCCCTCCAGCATCAGTTTTGGATGCTTAGGGATATGTCACAAGTGTGGTTTGCTATACATTGTTGCACACTAGGTTAAAATAACTCTGTTGACATTTGGTTTCACACAGGACATGAACAGCAGGCCCCAAGGTTAAAGTCTTTGCAAAGCCTCATCACTCACACTACCTATGTGGACTTTCTCACTTTTTATACTTCCGCGGTTGGTTGCAGTGTCAAAAAATGCTGCTGCTAAAGGGTGCCTCAGTGCCTCAGTACGCCAAGGGCCACAGACCAAGCAGTATCTGATGAGTTTGGAGTGAGATTAGGGTGTTTTTGCTACTGTAGGACAAATAACACACATCTGACTCCACAAACCACTGAAATTTCAAAAAAAAAGAGAAAAAAAAGAATGAGGGATCTTATTCATTCCACTGAAAGCCACGTAGCCTACTGAGCCTATACACTGGAACAGTGTCTACTACTCCACATGTGAATGACATTGAATGACAGAAATAAAATCTAAAAATGGCTATTGGTAGCTTTTAAATACACGCTGGACCTGATATTTCAAATATTGACTGTCTAAAGATTCTTTTTTAGAAATGCTAGTGGGTGGCATTTTTCAACTGGTTGTTTGGTCAGCTGGTTGGTCAGTCCACAACTTTGGTCTCTAGTGAACTATCTCGAGTAATATTGGATAGATTTCAGTTTAAGTTTTGATTTTTTTTCCAACAAGATAAATTCAATTTGGTGACACCCTGAATTTTACTCTACTACAGCCATGAGGTAAAAAATTTAATTGGTCCAATACTTTGATTTTTGTACAGTGACCAGTTGTTTCACCAGATCCCAACAAAATGTTTGTTTGTATGTTTGTGTGCAGTTGAAAAAAATCTGAGAATTGCCTTCCACCGGCTTCACCCAGTAGTAGTTTCCCATTCTTTGATGTAGCTGCATTCTGTCTTTGTGGTAGTAACCATCATATTCTGCATAAATCTGCAAAGCCTCTGACTTTGTGGAGACTGGCAATATTCTGCATTGGGTGTAGTGCATACGATGGTGACAGTTTCACATGCACTGCAGCCACGTGTGCAGTTTGATTACCATCACACTGCACCATGATGACAGCCTTTCCCACTGTCTTCACAGCCACTGGATGAAAGCCAGATTTTAGAAAAGCGTCTGTCCAGCAGGGGTCTGACTTTCCAAAAACAGAGCCAATTAAAAATGCAGGACATCGTCTCAATATGTAGTATGCGGGATAAGGGATAAAATTGCTGCACAGCCCAACATAATCAAGCAATGACCTGGTCACCATTGTTGTACTTTGTGTTTAGTGCTAATTTGCAAACGTAGTCCCCGGAGGATGAATCCCATTGACTTTGGTGATCCTTAACTTGTCCTTCACTACAACTAGTCCATACCCATTGAGTGCACAGTTGCCCACGTACAGTTTCACATGGTGTGTGTGTGGGATACAGGTCATAGGAAATTGCAGATTAAATAGTTAACTGAACCCATTAAGAAGAGCAATGTATTCAGAGTTTTTGTGGATTTGATAGTACGATTGCTTTATTTAAAGTACAGTAGTACCATAGTGGGATAGTTAGTGGGCTAAAACTGTACATTAGTAGTTGAGGTAGCACGTTGAAAGGCAGATAGTTAAAGTGTTTATATGTTGAATTGACTTAAAAGTGGAGCGCACTGGTAGTTCACATGTGAAAGGTGTGGCTAGCCCTTGTTGCAGCGGTGGGGGTTGGAATCCGGCCTTCGTTCTTTGCTGCATGTCTTCCTTGCTCTCTATCTCCCATCCTTCCTGTCATGCTTCACTGTCCTGTCAAATATAGGCAAAAAATGCTGCCATCTTGCCCTGGTGATGTTATTTGGATGCGAGTATGCCCAGTAGCGATCTCCATTATTTTAAATTCCAGCTATCCAACCCAATCACGAATAGGGCCATTAATCATGAGTATTCCGATTGGCACACACAGTTGTCAATCATGATGTCAACCCCCTTTTTAAACGTCAAATAACAAATTAAAACCATACTAATGAGAAAAATGAACACTTGAACACACATGAGCATGATAAGAACTACCGAAAATGACAGAAACCATCTTTGGGAAAATTTTTATTTGACGTGTACTTTAATCTTGTAGTTTGGCCCATGTCCAGGGGTCAATCAAGATGCTTTGGCTTTATTTTTAGGGAGTTGCCATGCTGTCCATCTCCATGTAGTCTAAGTGCTGAACTAAGACGGCAAACATTGTAAACATTAAACCATTTTAGCATCAGTATGCTAGCATTGTCAATGTGATCATGTTAGCATGCTAATGTTATCCACTAGCATCGTTGCTTGTCTTGTTTATTATTCAGTTTTACCACAGTGTGTTTATGTTAGGTTTAAATCACTGTGAAAAAATAAAGGTGGAATGGCTCATGATGACAGAGAAGGAGGAAAAAACCTCCAGAGCAAGGCCTCGGGGAGCTACAGGGGGTCAGGAGGTGACACTCCTGGACATATTTAGTATTCAGTCACAGTTCACTCACACACCTACTGCATCTCTTCATAAAGGGCACTTCTCTCGAGTATCAGAGGGGTCAGGACAAATGTCAGACCATGGTTGTAGATTCTTGTTGGGAAACAAGGAAAAAAGCATTTATGAATTTAAAATTGTAGTCACTATTTCAAAGTCATCGTTGTTCCATTTGTCAAGAGACTGCAAGCTCCCCATCGAACATAGTATATTTTGTTCAAGTCTTGCTTGTGAACATGTGCAGCCAATTTGTTACCTCTCAAAAAGTCATGAGCAAGAATAATGAAAAGTGATAATTGAAAACATGACACTAATCATGAATGCCTGCCATCTCGAGACAGAAGTCACTTAAGAGCCTGTATTTTTTCCTGCTACAGCTGACTCTTATTTAAGCTTAGAGACAATATCTAAAGTTCATAGAGAAATCCTCAGTTCATAGAAGGTGAAGTTACTGAGGCGAGCTGCTTTTGATCAGACTGAGGCAAATTGCATATAATTAATATTCTTCCATTTGACGTGGCTTTGTCTCTTCATCATTAGCTAACAGAGCTTGTCAGGAAACTGTCAACCAGTTTCCATCTGGCTTACATTCAGACAGTAACATCTAATTTGTGAGAAACTGCAAATGTGTGGAACATCTCTTCAGAATAAATGCACCGTCTGTGTTGAAAATAGTGAAGTGGCTTGTGTGGAAAGAAAATAGGTTGCATTTTCTGTGTAGACTGCGTCTCAAGAGCTTTGTTTCCATAGTTTTTCCACGCTTAGACAGTGTCTCCCACACACACACCCAAACACACACATGCATCAATAACCACCCATTTGGTGGCTTTGCGCGGTGGACGGTCATGCATGGATCGATGTCCCACCCAGCCGGAGCTTGGTGTGTAACGAGGACCCAGCTGTCTTCTGGGCTCTCTCCAGCTTGGAGCCTGATGGGGAATTGAAAACAATTATTCTCTTTTGCTGCTGTGACTCGGAAAATCACATTTCCTTGAGACGGGTGTGGTTATGGAAAGACTTTATGTCTATGTGGATGCTGTCTACCTTGAGACCCATCAGTTAAGTCTGTTACCTTGTATAAAAGTATGGCATTATCACCATCATTCAGCAGACTCCAAACACATCAATGTTTCTCCTCAAACACAGCGCATATTGTTTGCCTACAGAGGGAGCTGCAACTCCAGTTTTTCCTCAAAGTCTGACTCCAAAACACACACCACTTTTTCAATTCTCCTCCATAATTTGTATGAGTGAAGCATATGGACCAACTGGAGTCAGGGACTTTCTCTGTTTGAGATGCAGCCTGACTGCTCTCACTAAGAACTGACTTGTTGCTCATGAATATGTGCAGTGACAGAAGGGATCAGCCGTGGAATGACAGATGGATTCTGGCCTGGTCTGTCTCGGACTGCATTTGTTTTAGCCAGGTGTACCTAATAAACTGGCAACTAAGTGTGATATGAAACAGTCTTGCTAACATATTGACATATGTTTTCATATGCTGCATTCATCAATGATCAGGGGGTCTAATGACTACTTGTTATGTTAAAGGTTTTAGTTATAGTGGCAAACCTACAGAGAATTTTCACCTGACTGCAATTCCTGTATGGTAGGCCCTTTTCATACTACACGCCACAGGCTGAAACCCCCTTTCCAATGCACAAAAACCCCACTAACACCTGCTAACGTCTGGTTTTTGTATTTAATTGAAATAATAATCATACAATCAGCATTCACTCCTAGGTTAAATGACTCTGCAGTAGCCACAGGTATTTATCAGCCCCAGCTTTAATCAGCTTCAATCAGCAGTGATGGCACCAAGTTTAAGAGGGAGACCAAATAAAGTGAGAGATATAACAAGAAGTTAGACTGGCCTCAGTGCTGCTGTCTACTGTTTACTAACCTGTTTTCCGGC